TGTAGTCCAATCACTTGTTTGCATCTCTGTATCTTCTTAGACTCTGTATTCAACGCTGCCTGCTCTCCTGGATAGTAACCCTTTCACAGCTGGGGCAGAGCTGCCAGGGCCTGGAGCAGAGCTGGGGGCCATGCCTCCAGGCTTGAGACCGACACTGGGCGTGTTCCAGGCGGCCCTGGAACTGACCAGCCAGTGTGAGCTGCACCCGGACCTCGTGTCTCAGACTTTCGGTTATTTGTTCTTCTTCTCCAATGCGTCCCTTCTCAATTCGCTGATGGAACGAGGTGAGGGTTGGACTGGGGAAGGGACAGGGAGGAAAGCATGGGAACCTCTGAGACCCATGTCAATTCAGACAGCGTGCCCCAGGATCAGGCCTCATGTTTAGGGACTCTGGATAGCAAGTTCCAGATCCCAAGTTGAATGATAGGAAGGGTCTGGGAGGCAGGAGGGCCGAGTCCACACACTCATTGCCCTTCATGTCTTTCCCCCAACAGGTCAAGGCCGACCTTTCTATCAATGGTCCCGAGCTGTCCAAATCCGAACCAACTTGGACCTTGTCTTGGACTGGCTGCAGGGGGCTGGGCTGGGTGACATTGCCACTGAATTCTTCCGGAAACTCTCCATAGCTGTGAACCTGCTCTGCGTGCCCCGCACTTCCCTGCTCAAGGTGACTCCTGATCCCTGACCTCTGACTCCTCGACCCCACTCAGCTATCCTCTGTATTCAGCTCACCCTTGGATCTCCCCTTGGACTTCATGGTTTTTTTTTTTCCAAGATTTTATTTATTTATTTGAGAGAACGAGAATGAGAGAGAGAGAGAGCACATGAGAGGGGGGAGGGTCAGAGGGAGAAGCAGACTCCCTGCTGAGCAGGGAGCCCGACGTGGGACTCGATCCCGGGACTCCAGGATCATGACCTGAGCCGAAGGCAGTCGCTTAACCAGCTGAGCCACCCAGGCACCCTCCCCTTGGACTTCATGTTATCCCCGGTCCCAGCTCTGACACTGTGGGTGATGCATTGACAGTTAGAAGGAAGTCAGCCACAAGTGTCCAAACTGCATCTGAATCCCATGGGACTTATTAATAATAGGTTCCAAGGCCTCCACCCTCAGACATGCTGATTCAGAAAGTCTGCTATGAGACCAAGGAATGTGATAGTTAGAGTATGCATTGAACATAAATGACATGCCCGATGCTGTCTAGCACTCTCACTGAATGTTGACTAAGCCTCATGAAATAGGTTATTAATTGACAATTCTTTTCAGACAAGGAGACTGAAAATCAGGTAGGATAAGTTACTTGATTTCATTTATTTATATTTATCAAACTTTTACAGTGTTTAATAACCACCAGGCAGTGTGCTAAGTCTTTACAATCTTGCCATATTGAATCCTCATAACTACCCTATTAGTTCTATTCCCGCCCACACCCAATTGACAGATGAAGAAGGTGAGGCACAGGGGCACCTGGGTGGCTCAGTTGTTAAGCGTCTGCCTTCAGCTCGGGTCATGATCCTGGAGTCCTGGGATTGAGCCCCACATCGGGCTGCCGGCTCAGTGGGAAGCCTGCTTCTCCCTCTCCCTCTCCCTGGGTTCCCTCTCTAGCTGTCTCTCTGTCAAATAAATAAATAAAATCTTAAAAAAAAAAAAAAGTGAGGCGCAGTGACTTGCCAGAAGGTAATGAGTGGTCAAGCTGGGATTTTTGAACCCGGGCATTCTGGGTCCAGAGTCTCTGGTTTTCATCCCACAGATGATTCAGATGTCATCTCAGTTAAGTGTAGAAATTTTCAGATACAAAAAATAGCCACAGTGCCGTAATGAAGCCCTAGGTACACATCATCAGCTTCAATAATAAACTAATGGCCAATTTTGTTTCTTTTCCACCCCCCCCACGAACTCCTACATCCTTATTTATGCTGAAGCAAATCACATTTTTAAAAAGATTTTTTTTTAAGATTTTATTTATTTAATTGACAGAGAGAGAGACAGAGAGAGAGGGAACACAAGCAGGGGGAGTGGGAGAGGGAGAAGCAGGCTTCCTGCTGAGCAGGGAGCCCGATGCAGGGCTCGATCCCAGGACCCTGGGATCATGACCTGAGCCGAAGGCAGTCGCTTAACCAACTGAGCCACCGAGGCGCCCCTTTTTAAAAAGATTTTATTTATTTATTAGAGAGAGACAGCGAGAGGGAACACAAGCAGGGGGAGTGGGAGAGGGAGAAGAGGGAGAAGCAGACCCCCCCCCCCGAGCAGGGAGCCTAATGCGGGGCTCGATGCCAGGACCCTGGGATCATGACCTGAGTCGAAGTCCGACCTGAGCCACCCAGGCGCCCCCAATTAACATTTTTGTAAAGCGCCCTTTCCCACCATCCCTTTGGTTGATAGCCTGGCCTCACAGTGTCCGGAAGATATTGCACAGACACCACTTGTCTACCCACTACATCCATGCCCTTTATGGAGGGCCTTCCATTTTAGGATTTCTCAGCTGACCCATAATGACCATAGATTTCTCACCCGATCTTCCCACCAGGCTTCATGGAGCAGCCTACGAACTGACCACCCCACACTGACTCCTGCTCAGCTCCACCATCTGCTCAGCCACTACCAGCTGGGTCCTGGCCGTGGGACACCACCTGCCTGGGACCCCCCCCCTGCAGAGCGAGATGCTGTGGACACAGGTGAGGACAGATGGGGACAGAGGCACTGGGGCTGTCAGCTTTTTTTTTTTGGTTCTCAGGACCCAGGATTCCACAGCCCCAGCGCCTTCCTCCTTCTGACCCAGGATTCTGGACCCTTAACCCTCTCCTCCCTCAAGACTTAAGTGATGAACCCCAACTGCCCCCTCCCCCAGGGTACAGGAGTTCAAGCCCCAGCTCCTTTTTCCCCCAGGGTTTCAGGCCCCCAACCTCTTCCCCGGACAACCTACCCTCCTCACCCAGGAGTTCGGGTTCCAGCCCCCTCCACTCTAAGGAATCCGTAAAACTAAGTTCCCAGACGTTCCTTCCTCACGGGTCCAAGAACCCAATGCCTCGCCCGTTTCCCAGGCAACGGTGGCCTTTCTTTGTCTGAAACTACAACTCCCATGACGCTTGGGGACTCCCGCGAGTCATGTTTGAGTGGATCCTGCCCCAGGAATTGCTGGGGGTTGAAGTTTTTCCTTCCTTCGGGCGTGACAGAGCCTCTCCCCAACACTCCTGCCCCACGCCCATTTTCAGAGTTTGACTCCGTCTTCTTCGGTCTCCTAGGGGACATCTTCGAAAGCTTCTCTTCCCATCCTCCCCTCATCCTGCCCTTGGGCAGCTCGCGCCTGCGCCTCACGGGTCCTGTGACAGACGACGCCCTGCACCGTGAACTGCGCAGGCTCCGCCGCCTCCTCTGGGATCTTGAGCAGCAGGAACTGCCGGCCAATCACCGCCACGGACCTCCCGTGGCCTCGCCTCCTTGAAAACCAATAACAAACGAGCGCGCGAACCTTGAAAATTCTTCGGCTTCTACTCTCCGGAGCCCGCTCGAGCTCAGAGCTCTCTGGGAGTTGTAGTTCCTTCCCCGCGTGGGATGCCGGGAGTTTGAGTTTTCGGGTAGTAGAGGATGGGACAGTGGGAAGATGGGCTTGGGGTGTGAGCGCAAGGAGCAATAAAGGTATCTGTGGTATTGGCAATGCCTCACTTGTTAAGACTCGGGAACGCTGGTGATGATGATGTTTTGCGGATTAGAGCACCAGGGTCCTCGACTAGAGCGTTGGGTTCTTGCCGAGTCCGAGGAGATATTTATAGCCTTGGCCTCAGCTTGCCCTGCAGCTTGTAATCCAAACCCGGAGCCCTGGGGCCTCCCACGCATTTCAGGACAGAGCTCTAAGCTTGCTCTGCCAAATATCAGGCCCTCAGTCCTGCCGGTGGGAACCAGACTTCTCTCCCTTCGACCCCAAAGGCCAGAGTCCAGCCCTCTTCTCCCTCAGACCCGGGAGTCCAGGTGCCAGCCCCCTCCTCCCTCGGATCCAGGAGTTCGGGGCTCCAGTTTGAACTTCTCCACTCCTCTAAATCCGACTCCTGCTGCTGCGTCAGGGAAAAAACAAGCGACAGGTGGCACCTGCCCGCAGGGCCGGGTCGCGACCACCTGCTCCCGCCGCTCACCCGGCGCCCCTCTCCAGGCACCTGCTTCTGTCAGTCCGCCCGCCGCTGCCCCGCCCGACCCCGCAGCCCCAGGACGCGGAGGAGGAGCGACCCAGGGAACCCCGACGTTCGCCCCGCCCCAGTCCCTCCCAGCCCGTGCTCCCGCCCCTTCTTAGGGTCCCAGGCGGGGCTCCTGTCTCCCCCCTCCTCCCCCGCCCCATTCCACAGGCTCCTGGCACGCCCTAGAAAGGGGTGTCCTAGGCGGTCCCAGGCTGGTGGGGCGGAGCCTGCGGCCTCCAGCCTAGACCAGGGGACTCAACCCGCTCCAGAGTACTGCTGCGCCGAGCCCACCTGGTGAGAAGCCCCTGGGATGGGGGTGGGGGGAAACCACCTTAACTCTTCTGTCACCTCTCTGGTCCCAGTCCCTCCCTCACAGACCATGGTGGCTGACACCGACCCACTCCCCTCTCAAATGCAGGTGGCAGAGACCCTTCCCAATTCCCCAGGAACCTACCGGGTCCCTTTCCCCTCTTGATCAAGGGTGTTGGATTCTAGTCCTTTCAGAGTATTGAGCTCTATCCCTTCACCCTCTTTTCCTTCCTCTCCTTTCATAGGCCCAGGGGTCTCCTTTCACAGATTCCAGTCTTTCCTCCCCCAGGCTCCAGGAATGGGGGCCCTCAACCCCCTTCTCCCTCAAATCCAGGGGTCTGAGCTCCCAGCCCCTCCAACCCCAGGCTCCAGAAGTTCTGGCTCAAGGCCTCTCCTATCCCTAAGCCCCTGAGGCCCTTTCCCTGCTGCCTTCACAGGGAGGGACAGCCTCCTGACCTCCACTCTGACCCTCCTCCGGTCTGGGCACTGTCCTCCCCCCAGTCCAGGTCCCCATCACAGCCTTGGCAATGACTCTCGCAACTTCCTCTCAGCGCTCCCAAATCATTCGCTCCAAGTTCAGATCTGGTGAGAGGCTTCTCTCTATGCTTGTAGGGAAGGGGTCTTCTGGGTCCTGGGTTTGAAATACTCTTAACTCAGGTAGTGTGTGTGGTGGGTGAGGTGGGAGGGGGGCATGGCACCCACAAGGTAGGTGTTTTCTGTGCAAAAGGTCACTTGTGTATAAAGGAGGCCCCAGCAAAGGGGTTGAATTTTGGGGGCTCAATGAGGGTGCAAATGGCCAATGCAATGCTCCTGTAAACAGTGAGGAGTGGGTGGCGAGGGATGGGTGTGCAGAGGGTCAGGTACTGCAAAGGAGCAGGGGCTTAAATCGACATGTGTGCAAAGTGGAGGTGTGCACAGAGTGGGGACTTTGGAATGGGCGGTGTGGGAGTGTTGGTGAGGGGACAGTGCGTTATATCAAAACTTGAACGTGTCAAAGGTTGTATTTTAGGTCCCAATGCGGACCGAAGGCATGCAAGTGAGTGTGGCACTGGATGTCAGTTCCTCAGTAGGCCAAGGGCATACGCGTGTGCAAATGAGTATGCTAGATGGGTGCAAAAACACCAGTCCCCAAAGAGCAATGAGTGTGCCAGAGAGTGCACGTGAAATGTGCAAAGAGAGAGCCCTGCTCCAGAACTGGAAGCCAAATCCGGAATGTGCAAAGAAGTGTCAGTCAGGCTGGGTGGGTGCCAAGGATGAAGCATATCAAAGGGTCCGAGTGCACAAAAGTGGCACAGGTGCCAGACCAGAGCCCAGGAAAATGCATGTGCAGAGGGGGTGAGTTGGGGAGGCCTGGGGGTACACTGAGGGCAGCGGGCTGGTGCAGACGGGAGCGCACGGACGAGAAGAGGTGAGGCACACATGGGTCAGTCTGCCAAGATGGCGATTGTGTCTTGGGTGGGGTAGGCACATGCTCATGAAGGGGGCAGGTGGAGCTGGGGGCAGGGCTGCCTCCTGCCTGCACACTGGCTGGCTCCTAGTCCCAGAACAGCTCTGGCAGGGAGCAGGGAGCAGGCGGGAGGCCCGGGAAAGGGAACAGGCTGCCAGCCCACCCGCCTGCATGGGGTGTGTAAGGGGGCTGGGCACGCGTGTCCTGCCAACTGCAGCTCGCACCGCCTGCCAGGCCAGGCTCCTGGACACTCCCTTCCCGCTTTTCTCCTCCCACCTCCCTCCTTCCTCCATAGTCCTCCAGCTTCGGATCCACAGACGGTATCAGGACCCAAGTAAGTGTGGGCCCTGGAAGGGAGGGGATGGAGGCCCGACAACCCTGGGATGCCCAGGAGTGCAGCTACCAGATCTCAGGCACTGGTTCCTGAGCCTTGGCCCCTATGCCAGGGATACCCTGAGGTCCTACCCTGTCCCGTCCTGAGGACCCCAGAGCACAGGTCCCTGGTTACCCCACCCCTCAAAGCTCTGCTTCCCGCCCTATGACTTTTCCCACTCCAAAGAAATGCATGAATCCAGATCCCATTTCTTTGGAGAAGACAGGCATCCCAGACTCCACACTTGGCATGCACACGAATCTCAGGATGTGGCTTTCAGCTTCTCTCTCTCCTTAAGAACCACGAGTGCTGGCCCCACCCCTGTTCCAGCAAAACTCCCTAAATCTGTGATCCTCAGCCACCACACCCCTTGGTGACTGAGGACATGATTCCTGACTTTCTTGAGAATATACAATTCTGGAACCTCTGCCCTGAGATCCAGGAGTCTGGCACCCACCTCCTAACACTGGGGTTTCCCTCCCTGGTCCTGCCCTCCCACACTGGGAGGTGGGGGGGGCGCTGAGGCCTCCAGGGCCCTCCTTCCCACACAGTCTTGTTCCTCCCTGCCTGGCTTGCTGTCTACAGGCCTCTCAGGGTCCTTCAGTGCCTCTCCAGTCTTGGATCCAGATCCGTGGGTCTCAGCCACAGACCCTGCTCTGGCTCCCAGAGCATCGGCCCCAGTCTCGCCCTTGGGCCCCACCCCTTTCCTCTTCAGCCCTGGAGACCTGCTCCATGAATCAGAATACCACCCTTGGAGCTCTCTGAAGGTGGGTCTCCATCAAGTGAGGAGAAATACCCCGGAGAGTCTAGCATTGGTCGTCCTTGCTACTGCCCTTTTCGCTCCTTTCTGGTGGTGCCAAGCTGAGGCTCTGGGGCAGGACAGCGGTGACAGAGCCGAAACATATGACATCACACTTGCTTTTCCAGGACTCTCCCAAGATCTCCCAACATTGGAGAGAGCCCAAGCCAAAGGGGAACTTGACCTACCACCAGTACATGCCCCCAGGGTGGAGACAAGGGTCCAGGGTAGACTCCCAGGCCAAAGGGTTGGCCTTGGGTCCCCCTGGACCACCTCTGTGGGAAGGGACAAACTCACAGCAGCCACCTCCCAGGTATGATCCCTGTTTTTGTTCTCTGGGGGGGAAATTCAGCCCCCCCCCCGCCCACACATCCTCCTCTCTCAAACCCAGAGTCCAAGAGCAGGGGAGTCCAGAGTCCAGCCCCCAACCCCTTCCTCCCCCAGGACTCGAGAGTCCAAGTTCCCAGTCCCTCTTCCTTCAGTTCCCGGGAGTCCTGGCTTCAGACCCAAGAGATTGGGCCTCCGGTTCCTCCTCTCCCACGCACAGGAATTAGCTTCTTCCGAGACCCGGAATTCTGGGCCCTCTCTTTCCTCCTCACAAGCCCCTACCTTTGAGGACCCTGGAACGCCCCGTCTCTCTCCACCCCCTCTCACCTCTGGTTCCCCCTCACGCCTTACCGCCAGGATGAAGCCCACTGCCCTCACTTCCTCCCCACCTGGAGTCCCCAGCCCCTCGCCCCCTCCACACAAGTTGGAACTTCAGACCCTTAAGCTGGAGGAGCTGACGGTGAGTGTGGGGAGTAACTTCCCAGGCTGGCCCTCTCCCTCGGTGGGTACCCATAGTTCTAACCCCGCAGCCTCTGCCCCATCGGAGACCCAGGAGCCTGGGTCCCCAGTCCCTCTTCTCGCGGTTTCCCAAATGTCCAGCCCCAGCTCCCGCCTGCGCCCCGGAGCCCTCCCAGCAAGACCTCTCCCCGCCCCCTCCTCCCCAGGTCTCAGAGCTCCGGCAGCAGCTGCGCCTGCGGGGCCTCCCGGTGTCGGGGACTAAGTCGATGCTCCTGGAGCGCATGCGCGGCGGCGCCCTGCCCCGCGAGCGGCCGAAGCCGCGGCGCGAGGACGGTCCCTCGGGTGCTCCCTGGCCGCGCCTCAGGCCCAAGGCTCTGGGAGCCGTCCGGCGGCAGGGCTCGGTGAGGGCGGGGCTACGCGCGTATGGACCAATGAAGAGAAGACAAAGCGGGACGGGGCGGGAAGTCGAATGAAGAATAGCCAATGAAGTGTGGGGGGCGTGGTTAATAGCAAAGTGGGAGGCTCTTAAGGGAAGGGATGCCAATGAAAGAATACCGGGCGATACCGAAGGGGGGGGTGGTCGATGAGCGAGCGAAGGGCCGGGGGGAGGCCAGGGGGTGGAGCCACAGGTTGCGAGTGGGTGGGGTTGCTCCCGGCGGGCGTGGCTTATGGTAGCTCCGCGGTTCTAGCTCAAGCCGAGCCCAAACTCTCACCCTCCGCCTCGGGCACGTGCCTCGGACACCCCTGCTACTGCTGCGGTCCCGACCCCGGCTTCCGCTCCGGCTGCGGCTCCAGCACCGACTCCTTCCTCAGCACTGCCCACAGCGGCCCTGACTGTGGAGGAGGAACTGCAGGAAGCCATCCGCAGGGCGCAGGTGAGAGGGAGCGGGCTAGGGGTCTCAGTCAGGATGGTGCGGGATCCCAGGTTCACGCCGCTTCTGCCTGTCCGCAGTTGCTTCCGAACCGGGGCATTGATGACATCCTGGAGGATCAGGTGGAGCCTGAGGGTAAGAGTCCAACTCCTAGATTTGGGGGAGTTGGAGACAGGTTCTGGAGTCCTAGTCCAAAGGAGGAAGGGTTTGGGATCTGGAGTCCTGGGTTCTAGGGAGGGGTGGGCTGGGGACTTGGATTTCTGGAAACGAGGAATAACGGAGTGGGGTCCGGATCTCTGCCTTCCTAAGCTCACACTCCATTCCCTCTCCTGCAGACCCGCTGCCCCTCATCCCCCTGGACTTCCCCGGCTCCTTCGACGTGCTGTCCCCCTCCCCGGACTCTGAAGGCCTCTCCTCTGTCTTCTCTTCCTCGCTACCGTCCCCCACAAACTCCCCGTCCCCCTCTCCCAGGGGCCCCACAGACTCCTTGGACTGGCTGGAGTCTCTGAGTGGAGGTCCCCTGCTAGGCTGTGGTCCCCCAGCCCCCAGCATCTTCTCTGCTGACTTATCTGACTCCAGTGGAACCCGGCTGTGGGACCTGCTGGAGGATCCATGGTGATGGATGCTGGGGTTTCCAGGGACGGAAACTGGTGGGGATGGGAAGGTCACCGAGACAAACTCCCAAAGGACGGGGTGGGACAACCGGCAGAGCCCCTCCCACCACAGACACGGAATCAGAGAGGACTCTCATCCCCCCCAGGCCCCGAACTGCTGCGGACATGCCAACCGCCTGACTCCCGCCTGCCTGACCTCCATATGATCCCCTCCATGGTTGTGTGGTTGGGGGCGGGGAGGTGTCATTTGCTGCGGGCCAGGGGCAAACAAGCTGCTTGCTGCTTCCTTCAGAGACCTCATGGATGTCTTTGTTCCCACCTTCTCCCCTCCCATGCCACCAGCTAGATGGGAGTCTGGAAGGTGGTCTGTGTTTTTTGGGTGCAGGAGAGGGGGCAGGGAAGAGTCAGGAGGGAGAATAGGGAGCCAGACCCTTGGCTTCTGGTTGGAAGTGAGAATATCAGAAGCGTCATGTCTGAGGTCAGATTCTCTTGGAAGCAGAGCCTGAGACAAGATTCACGTGCCCATGATTTATTAAAGAAATGCCCTGAGGAGAAACCAAAAAGGAGCGGAGGAAACCAGACAGTGAAGGGGAAGAAGACTATCAAGAGTATGGCTTCAGGTGAAGTCCCAACCTCTGCGTGATCGCATGGGGAGCTCTGGAGGATAAATTAAATTGCAGGGTCTTTCTTACTCTGAGGCAAAAGGAGCTAGGCTTCTTTTTTGCGGGGGGGAGCTAGGCTTTTGAGGCAGAGGGAGATTCCTATTTGGGTTTCTTATTGCTGAATAACAAGCCACCCCCAAACTTGGAGTCTTAAAATAATAACTATTTATGATCACTCACAACTTTTTTTTAAAGATTTTATTTATTTTTAAACAGAGAGACAGTGAGAGAGAGAGCACAAGCAGGGAGAGTGGGAGAGGGAGAAGCAGGCCTCCCGCCGAGCAGGGAGCCTGACGTGGGACTCGATCCCAGGACCCTGGGGTCACGACCTGAGCCAAAGGCAGACGCTTAATGACTGAGCCACCCAGGAGCCCTGATCACTCACAATTTCATGGGTTGACTGGCTTAGCAAGGCAATTCTTTGGCATCATATGACTAGGGCTGCAGTCATCATAGTGTCCAAGTGGACTGGACCATCCAAGATGGCTCAGACATGTCTGGCGCCTTGGTAGGAATGGCTAGTATGCTGGAGCCAGCCGGGCTGTGGTCTCTCCGTCAGGGTATCTGGACTCCCTACATGGTAGCTCAGGGTCCTCCAAAGCGAGCATTACTGGAGCAGGAAGCAGAAGCTGCCAGTCTCATAAAGACCAAGCTTGGAACTGGCCCAGTGTCACCTTCACTACGCTCCATTGGTTAATGCAAGTCGGGCTGGCAGAAGATGGGGAGAGGACTACAAAGATGTAGGAATCTTGGAGGCATGGTCATTGGGGACTATATGTGGAGACTCCACTACACCCCTCTCGTCAGTCATGAAGAGAGGGTGGGACATAGACTGCCGGGCACCTTGAACCCCAGGGCAGTCCTGGGAAGAAGGTCACAGAGGAAGCCCATTAGCAGCAAAATCTTGTAAAATGTAGGTTTTATTATTCAGGTGTGGGGAAGCCTATAGATCAGAAGGACCGCAATTGAAAAGATCCTTTGTTGGGGCACCTGGGTGGCTCAGTTGGTTTGGTGGCTGACTCTTGGTCTCAGCTCAGGTCTCAATCTCAGGGTCATGAGTTCAAGCTCCACATTGGGCTCCACGCTGGACATGGAGCCTACTTAAAAACAACAACAAAAAAAACCCCAAAACCCAAAAAAGATAGTTTGTTATTCTCACAGATCCCCAAAGAAGGGGGTGTGCCAAGCCATGCACGGCCACCTGGGGAAGTGCCAAGGTAGTCAGGAGTTGGGGGGGGTCGGGGGGAGAGGGGAGCCCTGAGCAAGAGTCTTTGTTGTAGTTTCTCAGTGAGGGAACAGGGGAGGCAGGGTAAGTTGGCTTAAGATTGTCTAGTATGAATGATTTCAGCTGGCTCTGGGGTGTAGGGACCATCCCTAGTTGTCTGGAACGTGGTCCTGCGGTGATGAGGCAGAGGAATCATGGCCTGGAGGAATATAAAGCTCATAAAGGAAATGGTTGGGGGTCCGGGCTCTGGACTGGTTGGTTTGCATATGCAAAGCATGCTCCTGGGTGAGTCCTTTATTATCTCTGGGAATTGGCTAGCCCTGGGAGGGGCAGTCCCTCCAGATGTCAAAGCACCAGAAATATGGGAAATAAAAAGCCATAATGAATGCAGAGAGCACACAGAAGATGGGGGGTGGGGGAGGCTGAGTGCACAGAGCCAGGAAGAGGGATCTAGATCTATCTGAGGGGACCTGGGTGGGCCATCCACGTATCCACTACAGGTGGAAAAGGACAGCAGATCAGTGACGTGCGACAGTACCCAGAGCCAGTGACTGCCTCTCATCTGGCTGTCCGTTTGCTCATGGGTCCAGTGAGGATGAGATGTTCACTGAGCCCTACAGCCCAGTGAGGATGAGATGTTCACTGAGACTTCCCATGAGCTGGACCTGATGTGGGAGACATGCTGACAAATAATCACCCTTATGAGCTGTGGATCCACGATTCTAGTTCCTCCATGGGCATTAGAGAGTCATGAGAGAACAGGTAAGGGAGGGAGAGATCTTTACCGTGAAGGAAAGGTGTCTTCTGACCAGTCAGGTGGGAGGTGTCAGATGGGCGCTTTAAATCAGGTTCATGAGTCCATGGCCTGTGCCCTCAGAGTTGAAAAAACAGAGCCTCAGTCTCTGCTCTGGTGAAGCTCAGACATTTGCACAGAGAGAGTTCCAGTGCAGGGTGATAAGAATTTTCACGGCAGAGGGGCCACGACTCCTAGAAAGTACCAGAGGGCGCCTGGGTGGCTCAGGCGGTTAAGCGCCTGCCTTCGGCTCAGGTCATGATCCCAAGGTCCTGGGATCGAGCCCCGCATCGGGCTCCCTGCTCAGCGGAAAGCCTGCTTCTTCCTCTCCCTCTGCCTGCTGTTCTGCCTACTTGTGCGTGCTCTCGCTCTCTGTCAAATAAATAAATAAAATCTTTAAAAAAAAAAAAAAAAAGAAAGTACCAGAAGCCGTGGGGAATGGGTAGGGCAGTCAGAGGAACAGCCTGGGGAACCTTGTGAGGTCAGGGCTGCTGACAAAAGGTGGGTGGTGTGGCTGCCGCAGAATTTGGGGCTGGACATGGGTGGCGGTTGGGGCCTGTGGGCACCTTTCTGCCAGGCTGAAAATTGGTGGTAAAGGGGCGCCATCAGCCCTGAAAAGATCAAGAAGGGGTGTGGTGGTGCTTCTGCCTGTCTCCGTCTTGGCCCGACTCTGAGCTTGTGACCCTCTGACCCCATGTCTCCTGTGTCCAGGGGAGGGCAGCTCCAGAGGGAGTCAGGCCGAGGGTGGCGGCTAAGGAATTTTTTTTAAAGATTTTATTTATTTATTTGAGAGAGAGAGAGAGAGAGAGAGAGAGAGCAGAGAGGGAGAAGCAGACTCCCCACTGAGCAGGGATCCTGATGTGGGGCTCGATCCCAGGATCCCGGGATCATGACCTGAGCCAAAAGCAGACATTTAGCTGAGCCACCCAGGTGCCCCTATCAATTTGTCTCATAGACATAATCTCCAGAAGGTTGCATTGAGTAGGCTGGAGAATACACTCATTTTTCTTTCTCCTCCTCCTCTACCCCTCCCCGTTTCTCCGGCCCTCCCTGTCTCTTTCTTCCTCCCTTCTCTGTCTATGTCTACGTTACCACATACCCTGCTCAGTGGGGAGCCTGCTTCTCCCTCTCTCTCTGCTGCTCTCCCTGCTGGTGCTCTCTCTCTCAAATAAATAAAATCTAAAAAAAAAAAAAAAAGACACGGTCATACTGGATTAGGATCCACCCTAATGATCTTAACTACATTTTCAAAAACCCTACTTCCAAATATGTTGCATTCACAGATCCTGGGGGTCAGGACTTCAACGTAATCCCTTTTGGGAGATACAGTTCAGTTCATAACAGGTACCACTCTAAGCAGACGAACCAGCCTCAAGTTCTTTATGAAATATTACCGCCCTCTCCCAGTTCAAGCCCCTGCTGGCTTGTAATATAAAGCAATGTATGTTTAAGATCATAAATATCTGAAGCATATGGACCCGATTAGCTTTACTCTGTCTGCAATTGATTAAAAAAAAATCTGGAGACTGGGGAGGTATAATGTCATAGAGAGTGCAAGATACAGAATAGAAGGCAGATGATACTGCTGTGTTTGCGGGACCCCAAATAAAATTCTATACTAGGTTATGAATCAGGTGTCTTGTGAGCCTGCAGTTAAGAGCCAGGAATCAGTGTGGGCTCTCTAGGAAGATGTTCATTTTATCAATTGTTCTATGGTTACTGTTTTTTGGTGGGTTGTGTATTGGTTAAGAAACTAAGCACCTGCCTGGCTCAGCTGGTAGAGCGTGTGACTCTTGATTTGGTGGTTGTGAGTTTGAGCCCCACATTGGGTGTAGAGATTATTTTTTTAAAATATTTTATTTATCTATTTATTTGGTAGAGAGAGAACAAACAAGGCGAGTGGCAGGCAGAGGGAGAGAGAGAAGCAGGCTCTCCGCTGAGCAGGGAGTCTGATGCCAGGCTTAATCCCAGGACCCTGGGATCATGACCTGAGCCGAAGGCAGACGCCCAACCAACTGAGCCACCCAGGAGCCCCTAGAGGTTACTTAAAAAAAATAAAATAAAGTGGAAATTCCCCTGAAGGGGGAATCATTAAAAAAAAAAAGAAAGAAAGAAACCTTTGCCCACCTCAAGGTCATGAAGCTTTTCTCCCATGTTTTATTCTAGAAGCTTTATGCTTTTAGCTTTCACATTTTGGTCTGTGATCCATCTTGAATTAATGTTTGTGAATCATAGGAGGAAGGAGTCAAGTTCACCTTTTCTATGTGGGTATTGGGTTGCTTCCATTGATTGAAAAGCTCTTTTGTCCCTCACCTGAACTGTGTTGATGCCTTTGTCATAAATCAAGTGACTATATGTACGTGGTCTATTTCTGGACTCTTTGTTGGATTCCATTTGTCTATCTTTTATGACGGTAAACTTTGTCAAGGTAACTTTAGCTTTACGGTCAATATTGAAATCTGGT